TTCCTACTAAATTTAACCCATGAACGGCATTTTCTGCGAGCCTAACTTCAAGCCACAAATAAACAAACGAAGTGTTTGATCGTTTAAATAGCTGCTCGCCAGATTTTATTGCATTATAAAGAAAAGTAATTGATATTCGATTTTTGACTAATAATTGATTTATGTGGATAGTGGCATTTATGTGCATAGTGGCATAGAATTTAGCATTGCGTCATGGTAAATGTTATTCCTACTAAGTGGAAGTAGTTGTGTTTTTTTAATATTATACCCAATTACGTTTTAGATTGTTATTGTTTTTTAAATTAAGAGTTTAAAACTAAGATTTTTGTTTTTTTTTTAATCATAACGTAATTACACGCTACGTTTTAATTAGATTAAATTACTTAAATCGGTGTTTAATCTTATTAACCATTTTGCAATCATTATTTTTAGAGCAAATATATATTAATATACTATTATAAATTACAGTTAAAGAGATTTGTTGAATGATTTAGAATTTTACGACCATCTTCATGAGTAATGTAATGCATGCAAAAATTGTATATAATGTATCCGTTCTTTTCCTTTTTAAGGAAAATAGTAAATTACGGTTGTGAACTCACATAATTTGCCATAACAATATAGTTTTAACTTTGAATCTTGTTTTAAATAATGTCGTAAGAGATGTCTTAATAGGATCATAAGAGAAATATTTGGATGTGTCAATTTGGAACACAAGCGTTAGCAAGCAGAAATCTTCTTAATACATATATTTAAAGTGAATAATTTCAACGTAGAAAATAACTATTTTTAATTTTAAATGTTATTTTTAATAATGATTACTTAGAAAAATTACTTATATTCACCAATAGATCTTAATAGAGTCATAAGAGAAATATTTGGATGCGTCAATTTGGAACACAAGCGTTAGAAAACAGAAATCTTCTGAATACATATATTTAAAGTGAATTATTTCAACGTAGAAAATAACTATTTTTAATTTAAATGTTATTTTTAATAATGATTACTTAGAAAAATTACTTATATTCACCAATAGATCTTAATAGAGTCATAAGGGAAATATTTGGATGCGTCAATTTGGAGCACAAGCGTTAGAAAACAGAAATCTTCTTAATACATATATTAAAAGTGAATAATTTCAACGTATAAAATAACTATTTTTTATTTTAAATGTTATTTTTAATAATGATTACTTAGAAAAATTACTTATATTCACCAACAGATCTTAATAGAGTCATAAGGGAAATATTTGGATGCGTCAATTTGGAACACAAGCGTTAGAAAACAGAAATCTTCTGAATACATATATTTAAAGTGAATAATTTCAACGTAGAAAATAACTTTTCAATTTAAATGTTATTTTTAATAATGATTACTTAGAAAAATTACTTATATTCACCAATAGATCTTAATAGAGTCATAAGGGAAATATTTGGATGCGTCAATTTGGAACACAAGCGTTAGAAAACAGAAATCTTCTGAATACATATATTTAAAGTGAATAATTTCAACGTAGAAAATAACTTTTTAATTTAAATGTTATTTTTAATAATGATTACTTAGAAAAATTACTTATATTCACCAATAGATCTTAATAGAGTCATAAGGATATTTAAGATAAAAGAACTATTTTTTTCCAAGAAGCAACAATCATTGCAAACATATGTAGCTCATCAGGGTTGATGAGCGACAGCAAACAGGAACTTAGCCTACTTGTGTTTAAATAATTTTATAATTTAGTAATTTAATAATTAAATAAATTTATTTGTGCAATCATACTTGGCTTTTAATTAAAATTCTTTTACGAAACTTTCAGAGGAAACTTTGATTGGATGCGTAGGTGATCTTTTCGGAGCTGGCAGTGAAAGTGTCCGAGCGACAGTTTCATGGTGTGTGTATATTATGGCTGCTTTTAGAGATGTACAGAAGAAAGTTCAACAAGAGATATCAGAAGTATTGTTAGATGAGCGAGAACCAGAGTTTTTGGATCAAAAAAGCATGCCGTACACTCACGCTGTAATTTTGGAAGTAATGAGGTGGAAATCTATTGTACCTTTAAATGTGCCAAGATAGTAAGTGCCTTATAAAGAATTAGTGCAGTCCTGAAATTAGTGCATTTATACGAGGCACATCCAGAAAGTAAGTTTCCCTATTTTTTTTTTAAAAAAAGAACTCATACTTACCGGTACATATTTATTGGCAACAAGTGCAGCAATGTTTCAGCTATTTTTCAACATGGCCACCACCGGAATTGAGACACTTGTCGTATCATGGGATCAACTTTTGTATCCCTCTGTCGTAGAACTCTGCCGCCTGTGAATGGAACCATGTGGTGAAATAGTAGGCGCTGACCGTTACTTTGAAACACTGCCGAAATTGCGACGTGGCATTCAAAACAAGGGGGGTGGAATGTCTACTGTAGGTGTTGTGCTCCTCCATGACAATGCTCGTCCACATACGGCTCGACGCACAGCAGCTGTTTCGACGAAATTTGGCTCGGAGTTGTTTGATCATCCGCCCTACAGCCCTGATCTTGATCCCACCGGTTTTCATGTTTTCTTGCACCTCAGGAAATTCCTGTCGTCCGGTGAGCGTTTTGGCAACGACGAAGAGCTGAAGACGTCTGTCACACGCTGGTTTCATTTACAGGCGGCAGAGTTCTACGACAGAGGGATACAAAAGTTGATCCCACGATACGACAAGTGTCTCAATTCGGGTGGTGGCTATGTTGAAAAATAGCTGAAACATTGCTGTACTTGTTGCCAATAACTATGTTCCTGAAAGTATGAGTTCTTTTTTTAAAAAAATAGTGAAACGTACTTTCTGGATTCGCCTAGTATATTAATAGTCCCGAAATTAGTACATTAAAATGTTAACAACGAGATGTAAATATCAGAGGAACAACTGACTGTTTAGGGGCGACAAAGATGGCACACTATATTAAGAACAATGCATTTTTTAAAAACAATTATGGTTACTTAACATTTTTGTTCGCTATGTCGAAATTGTTATCCATTTGTTCTAGAGTCTCGAAATTTAATCAGTGACTATAAGGAACAATTTTAACCCCGAAGCTAAAATGCTAAAAATTGTTTAATGCGTGCAATATCGTATGTTAACGGGTGTTAACGAGAAATATATAAACTGGTGTATGAAAGGAGCACTGAGCTGATATTAGTTTAGAGTTACATAACTTACCGTAGCTATAGTCTAAAAATTAAAGAATTCTAAGACACTTGTTTTGAGAAAAATTTCTGCCTTAAATTAATCTTCTTTTTTGAGGCATTAGGATTAGTCGTAGATCTGAATCATTTCCATGTACTCAATATTTCCCAGTTCTCACGAAAAACGTGCAAAACCCAAAATCGAAAAATAATGAGTTAGATAGAATTACTCAACAGACGATATAAAAGAAATCCAATTTGTTTCAAAGTAGAGAGATATCCACCGAATCGTTATAAAAAAACTAATAATGAGATGGTTTTGTCTTGAGTTTGTGAAGCCCTATTTCGAACATGTACACCGAAGAGCGTTTACATTATGACCACCCTCCATCTATAACAATGGGCTCACACAGGTTTTCATGGTTTCTCGCCCAGGAACAATGTTTTCATGGGGCACATTAGGACCCATAATCCTCATAGAACAATCCCTGACGTCTGTAAGCTACTTGAACATAGTTGCAGACCAGGTTCACCCATTCATGGCAACAGTTTTTCCTGTGGGGGATGGTGTTTACCAACAGGATAATGCACCATGTTATAAGGGTCGAATCGTCGAGGAACATTCCAGTGACTTTTAAGTCATGTCTTGGCCCCCAAATTCACTTGACCTTAATCCAATAGAGCATTTATGGTCCTAATTAGAAAACCAAATTCATGTTGCCACGCTACCTCCGCGCAATGTGAGGGAATTGCAGGACCATTTGGTGAGCGCTTGGTACCACATATCTCAGACTACCTATCAGCACCTTGTGGAATCAATGCCACGGCTGGCGCTAGCAGTTTTGAGGGCTAAAGGTGGTCCTACATGTTATTAGCAGGGTGGTCATAATGTAATGGCTCTTCGGTGTATATATTATATATCTTTGTTATTTGTAGAAATTTGTCTGCGTTTATATAAAAATTGAGTCAATGTATATACTTTTTAAATATTTAGTACAACTGCTGACACAACTATTGGAGAGTATAAAATTCCAAAGGGAACTACGGTAATGGCGAATTTTTGGGCAGTGCATCATGATCCTAGACACTGGGAAGATCCAGATAGTTTTCTACCTGAAAGATTTTTAGAGCCTGATAGAAAATCTATCCGAAAATCCAGCAGCTATATGCCCTTCTCTGTTGGTAAGTTTTAAGAAGTATTTTAAATGTACAGGATAAAATTCTTCAATACATAGTTTTAGAATTAATTTTTAAAAAAAGAAACAAAGTGTATGCATGTTACTATCAATGCCAAAAATCCAGTATTCTATAAGATAACTTATGACAAATTAGCAAAATACAGAACGTTTCAAATTTCACGCATGTCCAAGGTATTAGTATGACTGATGAAAAAACCTACAGTAATTTCCTACAATGACGAAGCAACTTTTTTTTTATTCCATTAAGTGCCTAAAGATCATTTTTCATATTATTTATAGTCTTTTATATTACTAGCGCTGAACAGCTGAGGCATTTTTTGGGGTCACGACTATGGCCTTTTATTTTTGAATCCAAGCAAAAAGACAAAAGGAACTCTTGCTTCAAGCATAGGGACAAACTAGCTACGTAGAGGACTTTTTTATGGAACTAATGTAGAGATGATTTCGATGATAACGTGAAGGGAAAAAACTCGAAAATCCCTCACGGTTAGTCCAAGAACAAGGAAGCTCTGCTCTGATCCACGATCCGTCTTCCACTAAGGGACACTTTTCATCAACTCTGTAATCGGTGCTATCTAAGAGAAGAATTCGTATCGACCAGCCATTGCTGAGATTCGAACCTGGGTCACTTCATTGAGAGGTGAGCGTTCAATTGTCTGAGTCATCGTGATTCGCTGAAACATCATTTGTCATTCGACAGATGCTTGTACGGAATGCCGATAACTAAATGAAATGTATAATAATTCTCATATTTTATTCTTTCTCTAAAATATATCTTCATTTTATAGAATGCCAGCTTTAGTAGTTGCAAATCGAGATTTAAGAAGAGAAAACAGACAAACAAAAGCTTTATTACCCTTAGGAAAATTTGACTTAAGTTTGCCATAAAAGAATGCCATAGGATATTCCTATGGGGTTTTGCCCGCGGTAAAATTTTGCCATGCATTTGAAAGATCTGATGAATTATTATCGATGTGTGCTGTTTTTACTCTTCACGCACTTCTTGAATATAAAACCTGCAAACCCATTGATTTTTTTTGGATCGGTACAAAACTGTTGTAAGTCTAATTTTTTATTTTTTATAAAATTATGTAATGAAAGCTTTTTTTCTTCTTTAGGGAAAAGAGCGTGTCCTGGAGAAACAATGGCATACATGGAAGTGTTTCTTTATTTTGTTTCTATTTTACAGAATTTTAATGTCATGCTACCCAAAGAAGTGAAGCCAACATTTGAAGCAGAACTTACTGTTACCTATCAATTAAAACCATACTTGGTTCAATTTATTCCCAGGAACTAGCAAACAATTAAAACCTATTCTGGTCCTATTAATTCACAGGAAATTACAAACTACCTCATTATTTTTGAAATTTACTCATAAATGTAAAATACTATTGTAATATTCTTTGTGTTAACCTCTGTAATATATTTATGTTTAAATGTCATCTTACTTTGACGTATGTTGTGCTTTCTAAGAAAGTAAAATAAATACATGAGTATGTAACAACATTAAATACTGTTAAAAATATGTGCACATTTTTTTAAATTAGGAAAAATCATTTTTAAATTGAAATTGACGCGTTTATTGCCATGCATATGTGATAGAAAAATTATCTTTGAACAAAACTATTCTACAATATGCATTGCTACACCAGGAAGAAATGATAATAACAGAATTATATTTATTGGACATATACATTATAGGATAAAGAGCAAGTAATAACATTTATAAGATATTAAAACTAATAGAATCTGAAAATTCCTCCTCCAAAACTGTCAATCTCGAGCGGATTTAACAGCTTTAATCGTAAATACAACTTCAAGTTATGTCGCAGTTCAATAACAGTAATAACAGGCGAGCCAAGCACTCAGCAATCATTGAGTACAATCTTTTAATTGTTCAAAGATTTGGAGAACGTGCTGACCACGGCAACTGTCGGACATTCTTTGAATCATGGAAGCTCAATATATTACGAGCAGCACATACTAATTCTCCTATTGTGGCCGTACATTTACTTGCTGAAAAATACTTAGGCCTCAAGGATGGATAAAAGCCACGTGTTTTAACGCGTTTGAAATGTAACAGTTGTTATTCAAGATATCAGGAATGCAAACAAGAGGTGGTCGATACACGAATCTAATGGCGCCCAATACTATTACTGTGATGCCACAATTGGCATACACATATTTATTTTCTATCTTTTAAAATATCTTTCATTACATAAGCTGATTATTTTTATTAATAGAATTATTTTTAAAATAAATCAAAAACTTAATCTTTTTAAACGAACATAAAATATTTATTTCTTCTCTTCCAGATCAATGTAACGGATACTTTCTTTTTATTTCATTATTATGCAGACATATAAATTCACTGTCGCCTCTAATCGAAAACAAAAATCTATTTATAACTTTTTATTCTAATTTTCCAACGGCTAAATGTTTCGGTTGCATGGTTATAATAATTCACATAAATTTGTTGGCGACTCGTGATCGCCAAGGTATTCTTTTAAACCCAATATTATTATGCTTTTTGGCATTGTTTGGNTCGCCAATTTTGGATCTCCATCCCATGCTTCTCCTGTGTCCGATCGGAACAAATTACACGTACTTTTTAATTTGGCTTTTGATTAGGCAGGTCGTGGGGATTTGTCTCCCATGGCCTGACCTATCTTAATATTACTATGCAAAACTGATTCAACTGAAATTCTTATGAATGATATTTAGTTTTGTATCTCGAGCTCTGCAAATACTATACATAAAATAAAAGCCTTTTTATTAAATATGATCCAGTTCAAGTATTATCTTCATCACCCTTCTGTTTTCATCATCTTCAATTCATTATATTCTTCAACTAGTCCACTATACGAATACACCCTCCAACCTCACCTGCCTATCATCATCACCAATATAAATGGCACTCCTATTTTTCCGTCTTCATAAAATTGGTACCCAGATTACAAATCCTATCTTCATAAAATTACCTTGAGTGATGGACTAGTATGACAACGTTAAATGCTAGTTGGCCGGATGCGATCTTCATTATGGTTTTGCAACTGAACCCAACATTCGTTTTTAAATATTACGTGCCGTCAATCCTGCGTCCAGGAGGATAACACTTCTGAAAGAGTTCCTGTCTGTGATGAATCGCCAAGGGTAGCAGATTCTATGGTTGCCATGATGGTGGTTCACGCTATTGCAAACGGTGTCAAACGGCTTGAGCAAATACTTCGTGTCTGACAAATAACTCCATTTCCCGAACTATGGCACCTAACGTAACTGTGCGACTTCATATTAAACATATGGGTAAAATGTCGATCTTCTCAGTTCTTTCTTGTGGGAGATCATTGAAATTCAGCATGACGTTAGATATGATTGTCCTGAACACACCGATTTCATATTTTGTGGACAGTTAAGAGATCTCAACTGACACGAGCAGCTATAAATAGCACAATATGACTGTGCAGCTATATGATGAACCACAATCCCGGTTGGCTATGATCTTTTGTTAACCAAAGGTAGTCAATTAAAACACAGTGGGTATCTTTCTCAGACAAATATAATGTTAAAATGCAACGTGAGTATGAGAAAATTGCTGTCGAAATTTTGCTTTCATGAGCATTGTTGGTGCTACCATTGCTGTCTGCCTCATACGAATGTGCTGAAAATCTAATTGCTTGCATTTGCAACATGTTTTATCTGTCTCGTGAATTTCACAAGTGAGTTATTCTAATTTCACGTCTTTCTAGCAATGTAATTTTAATGGCCAGTACTGCAATTACAAACAAAAATAATTTAAATTTTATTTAATTTTAAAACTTTGTTTCAAAGATTCGATATGTCTTCTAACCTTGGTGTAAGAGGCTCCCTTAGTGAATAAAAAACAGCCTTTTTACTAAAACTTTCAAAAAAGATCAGCAACTTTTTCTCTACTTCGTCTAATGTTTGGTATTTTAATTTTAAGATTCCAAAATAAAGGTTTGTTTTTAAAAATGCCGAACATTACTATCATTTAATGAATATCTGTTCACAGTAACAAAGAAAGTGCCGTACTCGCAGAACATAAGCACAAAGTCTTTAAAATGAAAAAAAAAAAAAAAAAAAGGATAAGAGAATATATTANAAAAAAAAAAAAAAAAAAAAAAAAAAGAGTAGAGCAGTATAAGAAAGAAACAAATTTCAGAGCAGAAATTTCGCATCTTTGTCCCACCCTCTAAGCAAGGAGTTTCCCCACAGCATTAAAATTGCAACAAATAGCAAATTCTTATGAAACTTGTTTGCAAATTCGTACTGAATACGCTGGCGAGTTATTTCGCCCATCGCGATGTACAATCGATATAGTGAAAGGATTTAAAATTTTGTGGTAGAATGTGACATTTAAGGGAAATTATACTTTCGGGTTTGGCTAACTCGAAATAGAAAGGAAAGAACAGTTGCAAACGTAAACAAATGCCACGCTTCATAAACCAATCAATATCCAGATACCTACTCTACATCATTTGCAGGTATCGCATTCTCTTAGTTTCAAACTCTTTAATCAAAAGCGTAATTCGCAATCGCAACGCTCGAGTACGCCGTCTAGCGGGAGCCTGTAAATATCAGACATTAATTTATCACGTTTTCATTTAGTTCCATGAAAATCATTGACTGAATCAGACGCCATTTTTTAGCAGCAAATAAGAAACAAAATTTCCCTAAGGAAAAGGCCGAAGAACTTGAAAAAAATCTCCAGAATATTAGTAAATCTTTCAGGAACAGAACACGCCAAACATTTGAAGAAAAATTCCTCAATAATTTTTAATTTCTATTATCAACAAACTTGCAACTGATGACTTCCGATTTCGGATACTGTTACAGATGTGTGTATTAAGGTAAAATGCATTTCTTCTGTCTTCAATTCATTACGAATTAAAGTGAAGTCAACATTGCTTTCGTCATTCCAGTGAATAAATATGAATTCAGAACATACAGAATTGTAATAGTTATAGCATATTCTTCTTCGTTATAGAATAGTATATATTTCTGTATCCATATAATTCGGAAAACAACAATAAAAAATTATCCAAGTTACTTGAAATAGTGCCATTTGTGCTGATTCTTAATTAATTTAAATCGTTTTCTTGGTAAGTTTTTTTTAATTTTGAAAGAATAAGTTCAACTAGAATTCAGCTATTCTGTTTTTAGCTACATATTCAAATTCATATCAATTATAAAATTTTGCTGTGTAGTATGTTATCTAAAAGTAATGAAGGTATAAACTATGTATCTATTATTTGAGAATAAAGTTTTCAAACAAGGAACTTATCATTTTGGAATTCTCCGGGAATTATAAATCAGGTAAGTGCAATGATTTTTACAATAAAAAATTTGCTTGTAAATATTTTTTTTTCATTTGATGATGGTTCTCTACAGAATGGTTTTTTACGTCTGATTAAGAACTATAAGAATAATAAAAAAAGAAACAATATGAAAGTTTTTATTTCAATGTAAAGAATTCTTAAAATCGTTTTTTTATCCTAAGAATTCTTTATTTTCCGTTTTTTAGTTTATAATTTTTTGATAAAAATTGTTCTCAAAATACTTTTTTTGAAAAATTAAATGGTATAACATTATGTGTTTATGTATACTTCTTGTATATTCCAATGTTTGAAGTAATATGATTCAGAAAAGTATGGAATAAAAATTCGGTACTTACGTATTAACGCCACCGCCGCTACAGATTTGGCGGTTTTTAAGTGCCGCCAATCTACACTTAAAATTTTTGCGACAATTCATAAAATAAAACACTTTATTTAAAATCAAAATAGTCAATCGGATTTCGGTGGAAAATGAGCCGATATAGAGTTTAGCATAGATTCAAAACAATCATATCGCCATATGAACTCTGATAAATAAGATTCCAAATGAAATAACATTTCCAAAACGTACGTTTACCAAGATAAAGTTTTATGTTGTGGGAATTGGTACATTTTCGTTTTTTCGGTAAAATATTTCCCTCCTGAAAAAATAAAATTGCATCTTGTTTTGTTTTTGGCAAATCCCAAAGACGAATTTTCGTAGCACTAAAAATGGCGACAAAAAAGAATTTTTTTTTTGTTTTTGTTTCGTCAGCATTCTTTATTTTACGTTTCTTAGTTTCTAAATAATGATTTTTATTGAAACTTGAAATTTTTTGATAAAAATTGTTGTCAAAAAACTTTGTTTACAAAATTAAATTTCATAAAATTATGAGGCTTATGTATACTTTTTGTTCATTTTAATTTTTGAAGTAATATGATTCTTAAAACTATAGAATGTAAAGTTTAAATGGGCCTTTCATGTTATATCATTAAATTTAGTAAAACTATTTCTCGGGCATTAGGTTTTAACTCTTATAAGAATATACATATTTTTTTCTGTTAATGTACAAATATTTTTCCGATGTGTTTTGGATATTCCTTCTCTAATAAAAAGAGATACCATTTTGTTTTCGTTTGCATAAGAAAGAATATCAAGCATATTTTTTTTAAAATTTAATTAGCCACAATAAAGAAGGAACGTTGCAATGCTACGTGCTACATTAACGACGTCTCTAGAGTAACTGAATGACTGTTCATATAGAAATCGCAGGTATTAGTCTCATACAACAACGCCCCCTATAGTTCGTTGCGATCGCGAATAGCAGTATAGGAATATACCTGTAAATGAGGGATACAAAAAAATTGCAGAAAAACAATACCTTTATAACTTTCATTAATTTTATGCTGATGACAACCTAAGCAATATGGAAATGAATGAGGGAAAACTGGATCCTACCACGTGATTCTCCGGCGTCGATAAATAAAAATGTGTCCACAACAATGGAAAACTATGCTAGACCATTATGTTTTTATATTATATAGAGAAATCACATTTTCTTACATCTATTTAAAATTAGTTAGGACAAGCTAAAAAAAAAATTGAGATTCTAAACTCTTACGTCTGTTTGGTACTGTACTTTTCATTAAACAACTGTAATTTATCACTGGAAAACTGTAATTTATCACTGGATAATTATTAAAATTTTATCTGATTCTTGTAACAACATAATTTATCATGCATAATAATCATTACTAAAAACTCGAGAAAATTTGTGTTGTAACTAACATAAGTGACTATTTCCTTCTTCATTTAAAACTTTATTTTCAGTATTCAAAATTAGATTATATTTGACAAAATTTGGATTCTAACTGAACCAAGTTTTAAACGATGCACTGAATCAAAGCAACAAAATTATTCGCTGTTATATACTGAGAAAAAAAAGTATGGTCACCATTAACAAAATATGGTAAAACTAACCGCGGCTGTATGTGAGCATCAAAATCTCGATAATTTTTACCGAAGCGCTTTGGTAACGATTTTGGTAAAATTAACAATAAAACATGGCTTATACGATACAATTTGGCAATTTTATCCCGATACCGTAGAGCAAGGCACGAAAATCATTTATTCGGTTAAATTTACTTTTCAAAATTGTATTTTTTACGAAGTTTTTAATAAATAAAGATAATTTGAAAACATTTCCAGAGCTTTTAATTCCAGAGCTTTTAACATTGAGAAGTTCAAACTCTTGATCCATTATTACCATATTTTACAGATTGTGGCTACTTCCATCATATTTGGTGGAGGAAATAATCATCCAATAAAATTATCATGAAATTATCCCAAAATCACGAGTTTCACTCAAAAAAATTCATGCATACATTAAATGATTGAATAATATATAACTTCAAATCAGATTATTAAATTAGTGCAGCAAAATTTTCAGTTTCTGTAATTGTAAAGTGGTTGAGCCATTTTTAAAAGATAAAACACCAAGTTTCAATCACTATTTTATTAATCTCTTCTTTTTTTGTTGCTTAATACATCTGATAAGTAGTGAAATTTGAGTCTTTGAATGATAATTCATTCGATTGAATTTGAATGATTGATAATTTGAATGATAATGAAAGTTAAATAAGATAAGAACAAAAACACCCAACTATACTTCTGTTTAAGACTCCGCTTTTAAAGTAGCAAGATTAGAAACTTAAATTAGTGCATGCTAAATTTCCTTATAGTTTCTTCTTGAAAAACAATCTTTTTTAAAGATGATTGAACAGTTTCAAAAGCTTAAGTTAGTAAATAATGAGATCGCAATTGGATTATTAGTTCTGATTATAGTTTATTTAATAACTTACTTAATTAAAAAACAGTCTAAGAATTTACCACCTGGCCCTTATGGATTACCGATTGTAGGATATTTACCATTTATGGCAGAAAGACCATATTTACAGTTTATTGAACTGAGTAAAAAATATGGAAACATATTCAGGTAAGTGGTAATTTTTTTAAATATTTTTGATTTACAGTATATTTCATGAATATTCATGTGGTCTAATAACACAAACATTCATTATATATATATATATATATATATATATTAGCCGGG